GGCGGCCGCCGCTGCCGCCACAGCAGGCCCCCAGCCCAAGTCCCGGCCTTGCCGCCGCCACCGCCGGCCGGCCTGGAGCTCCCCAGCCTCCGCTTCCCTCCCCGCCCCCTCCTCCCACCTCGCTCGGAAGCCCGCCCTCCACCGTACCACGTTTCTCCAATCAACGAGCCGAGACCGCGGCCGTCACCGGATGTCACTTTGTTTGACAGCAGAGAGAGTCCAATGGCTGAGTGTGCCTCCTCCTTTCTTTCCCGATTTCCCAAGACTGACATGTTTTACAGCCCAATCGTTATGTAGGCCCGCCCCAGGCGTGGGCCCACCAATAAGTAGGGCGAAGGCCCCATAGCCCGGCGTTCTAGACCCCATCGTGGTGCGCCGGCCGCAGGAGGTATCGTTATAGCCTAGGTGGTGAGCGAAGTGCCCAGGCTGAGTGTTTCCAGTGCCTTCTTTGGCTGGGGGATAGGGGCTTAGGGCGTGAGATAGGAGGCAATATCACCGTCGGAGCGCGGGATCCCGGACCCCCCCCTCTTTGAGGGATCCCACGGTGACTTGCAAAAGCCCAGTGAGACCTGAGGGAGCCGAGACGGGGTGCAGAGCATGTGTTTCGCGTGCAGGCGACGCTCGTGTCGCCATCTTGGGTCCTGGCAGCGGAAACCGTTTTGCCATCTTCCGCTCCGTAAGGGCCGGGCGGAACGCCCCTCGCCAGTTAAGGACGGTTGCGCCCCTTGTCCCAGGCAAGGGTCACAGCGTGGGAACAGCCCTGGGAACTGGTTGCCACGACGCGGGTGAGACGTTGGCGGTGTGAGGGATGTGGCGTAATCAGCGATATTTGTCAGAAACATCCCCAAGAGCACCGACTTCCCTCTCGTCTCCCCCGCCCGACCTGTCACGGAGCTTAGTCTTCCCTTTCAGGAACTTTCCTCAGTTTCTGGTGTTCTCGAATCTCGTCTAGCCAACATCTCTGTGATTTTTCAAACATTAGTTTATCCCCAGCATAACTTGGGGGAACTTGTTAAACCTGCAAATTCCGAGGCCCCAGTCTAGAGATTCTCATTGACTTACCGTGGGTGGTGGCCTGATAACCCACCTGCTTATTAAACGACTCGAGTAATTTTAATGCAGCTGGTCGTAAAATCACGTTTAGGCAATCACTGAGTTGGAGTTTTGTAGTATTTGTTCCCAGATGTGGAACAAAGAGGCGTCAACTCAAATTCTTGACTCCCGGAAAGATCCTAGTAATCTATTGATCCTTGTACAACTGAGGAGGCCAGCTGGTAATTCGTTAGATAAGAACGTCGAGTCCATCACGTGTTTGGAGAATTAGGAGGCTTAACTGGGTGGTTAACAGATTATAAAGCACTTTCATCACATGGAAATGTACACCAGTATCCTTTCACTGAATCCTCAGAAAACTACTGAGATAGTTACCCATTTCAAAGACTGATTCAAAGAGCACATGTTTTAGTTACTCTATTTACTATTTGTTTCCCAGTAAATGCTAGAATATAAACTCCACGAGGACTGTAATTTTGTTCATTAACTGTTGAGTCTTCAAAACCTAGAACAGTGCCTGGAACTTAGTAGACACTCGAATAATTGAAGAACTCAGACCTGTGATTAGAAGTTTCTGTTACAAGAAATTAATACTTGAAGGAGATACAGTTTTGAAGGATATGGCATGTTACCAAGGAATTGAGAGACCGTTCAGCCCCTGCATTAATAAGACCATGAAGGTATATACTGCTATTGGATAAGAAAGGAGGAGAAATCGAGGTGCAATCATTAACATACTAAGGGGTTGAGAAGGAAAATTAAAAAACCATAGAACTGAAAGATATCAAGCCTAGACTAAAGTTACAGGGCTTAAATACAAGACTACTTTGAGAAGATGGAAGAAGAGATTGACAAAGCAAAACAATTTTAAACCTTGACACGGTTTTAAAACAAAAACTGGATGATCCTTTATGGGGAGTCAGGAAGACTTAGCACCAACAAAATTGTTTTGGACAAGTTCACTTGTATTTTCCAAGTTTCTTTGGAGCTGCATAGCAGGGTATCAGGTGGCTGCGATAAAACATAAAGTGATGTAGTGGATATATGACAAACATGAAATCAAATAAGTATTCACTGAAATGGCAGCTCTAGGTGGGAAGGGCACACTGGAGTGATAATGTATAATACTGTCACATCATATTGAATGCCTAAATTCATTTGGGGATTCTTTAATGACTCTTAAGTTTTTCGAGATAGCACTCTTATCTGTCTCCTTTCTCTCCTTTCTGGGGTCCTGGGTGTGGAGGGAGTGGCAGGCACTGAGAATAGGAGGGGTTCCATGTGAATCCTTAGAGAAGGGGTTCCTGTTCTTTTGCCTCTTCAAGTACTGTGTTTAAATGTGTATAATAATTACTCGAGTGTACAGTGGAAAGAGATGGATCAGGAACTGTATTGGGTTAAAGGAACTATATTATTGGAGTGTAGTTAGAAAAGTTTCCTGCTTAGCAGTCACATAAAGGTGATAAGAAAAAGACAAAGAATTGCTGGCCCAGTCCAAGGGCTGAAAATACTGTATAGATAAAAAGACAATTTCAGTCATCAAGCAGTTAGGCCTCGCAGGATGTGGGCACTCAGGATATCTAATACTCCATGGTAGGGAGTAGAGATTGAAAGACTGTCTTCCACTATGTCTAGAGTTCCAGATCAAGTCTGAGCAGGTGCAAACCTTCCCAGAACCCACTGATTAACCTTGTGAAATTCAGGGTGTGTTCTCCCATCCCCCCAAGACTCCTCCCTGTCCCTGGACAGCTGTTAATAGGATATTTACCCAAGAAGCAAAAGAAGGATCCCATGCTGATGTGTCATCAGTCTTGGTATATCCATTAAATCAGACCAAGAAGACCACTGGAAAAAGTGAGCACATGCTCTTGCTCCCTGAGGGAGAGGCAGAGAGCCATCAGTAAAACCAGGCCTTGCCCCTGCAACTCTAGACTGCACAGGAGAGAAGAGAATGCAGAGAGAAGCCAGGAAGAGGTTTCTAATGCACAGGGACTTGGGGTCACAAAAAGAGCCACCTAACTATACACCAAAATCCCTACTTGTCCTGGTTATATCTGTTGACCCAGCTTCCTCTATAGAAAAAGCTGTTGCTGCCACCAGCTGGCACATCTATCCTTGTCATCCTGCAAGGGTGACACCTGCCAGGAAACCCTCAGAGAAGGGGATATGGGAAGGCAGACTGCCTGGGACATGGGTTTATTTTGAAACAGAAATTGCTTTTTCCCTGTAAGAGGAAATGCAGTTTTCCTGTTATTCTGGTTGCCCATTATTTCTTTAAAAGTGTTTTTAAATGTTGCTAATCTATATAAATATTTCTTAGTCTTCAACTTTCGTCTAGTCCAGAAGAATGGATTAGATACCTGCCTGAGATTTCCTTACAACCTCTAAGAGATTTTAGGATTACATCCTGTCAATATTAAAGGTTAGCATGTCTTGCAAAGAAATCAATTAGTTCTCTAGCTAATGCAGACATTTGGCACCTTTCTTACATGGTAAATGTTATTAGCAGGCTTGTTACCATTAAACCATCAAAATAAGTAAAGCTCTTCTGCAAGTCACCCTCTCCCCGTGCATCCCTACCACCACTGTCTTGGAAGATTGCTTCTCAACCCCTGCTGCACGTCAGAATCAACTGGGGGGGGAGGGGTCTTGTAAAAAATATCAGTACCCAGGTCCCATCCCTAACCAGCTAAGTCAGAGACTCCTGGAGTGGCCCTGGGTATCAGAATTTTGTTAAAGCTCCTCCAGTGATTCTTCTGTGCAGCCGGAGAATCGCTTGGAGCAAGAATCCAAGTTAAGTAAAAATAACAGCGGTAATGTGTAAGCACAGACTAGAATCACCATCTGATTTTAGGATGCACTCTTTCTCAATCCAAAAATGCTGTCTTCCTTGACCTAACCAATGAAAATGCCTCATTGTTCACTCATGTCTTGGTGTAACATTTTTATGAAGCTGAGTTCAGTCATTCTGTATGTCCTCATCACATCATCCCAAACAATGTTGGGTAATTTTCTTTGTATAGCCATCAGTGTGGCATGTCAAAATCAAGTGCTATTATGAAGCAGGAAGAGTGGATATTTTGGACTCAGCTGCATTCAGAAATCTGGGTCTGCCATTTACTGTTGAGATCTCCTGAGCTAAATGGAGATAACAATATATATATTCACAAAGTGTAAAAAGTAGATTCTGTGTATAAAGGCACTCATGCATGGAACTGAATGTGAGGTCTCTTTCTTGCCCAACTTTCTCTCTGCCCACCCTACAATCTTATTTCAGAGAAAGCCAAACATATTGAAGAAATGAGAGCTGTCCTTAGGTTGGTCAACTGGAAACCCACCCTGCAAACAAAGCATAGCAGCTTTCATTTTCTCTCTGGAGGATGCCACAAGCACATACATCCATGCCTCACATTCTATACACACCTCCCCCTCTTGACATTATAACAAGAAGGATAGAGAGAGACTGTTACCCATGGGAGCTGTTTCTTCTTGTCACACAAGAACAGATGCAGAAATCCTAGGACAGACAGTGCAGAAATGTGGCAGCAGGAGGGTGAGTCAGAGGAAACAGAATGGTCTCACCTCCAAGGTATACCAAGGCACAGAGGGGAATCCATTTGAATCACATGCCTCCTGGAGATTCCAAAGGGCAGGAACTTGCACATGTGTGTGTATGTGTCAGGACCAATTCTGAGTCCAGCTACTCCATAGACTGCAGCTGGTTAGAGATGTGTACATCCCCACCCCCAGCACATCCACCCTGAAGGGAGCAGAGAGCTGGGAAATGAAGGCTGTGTTCTTTTGGAACCCAGCTCTGGCTTCCTCATTCTGGGGAGACTCTCCAGCTGTTTCTCTTCTGCTGCACGTGCTCACTTCTCAGGTGCTTTTGGGTGCTTACATTGTAAAGTCCTCTTGGGACGATGCTCTATGGAAGACACTATTTCAATACTGCACACTGACCTTGTATTTTTACACAGAACCTCATTAAAGGAGCATCCTAGGCCGGGGGAATGCTGAGGATGGAAAGGAGTCCTGGGGGAATTAAGGGAATTTAAGGAGGAGCCATCATCGAGGAGCATCTCTTCCTCGAAAAGAGGGCTCTGAATTTACTTACCACAGCACTTAAGATGTGGAGATCTCGTTGATTACAGTAAGAGCAACTGAGGTGGTAGAGGTGGTGGTGATGAGGATTTTGTGGTTTTTCAGCTTCCTTCCCTGGCTTTTTCTCTATGCTAGCCCTTCTGCCCCTCTCTAGCACCTTAACCACTCCTCCTGTAACTGGTCTCCCACCTGTCCCCATGGAGCCATACCAGTTCCCTAAGTCCCCTGTCTTTCCAGGTTTTCCTTCTGCAAGCAGACCCTCTTTCACCGTGGCTACCATATACCACACAGAGGCTAGGAAATGCCTCTGGAGGTTTTGTGGTGATGTCCTTGTGAATATGAACTAAAAATGGACTGGCTCACAGAAACATTAAGGCATCAAAATAATCAAATCAGTATTTTTTTAAATAACATACCAAGCTGGCATGACCATTGACATGATTTCTGATGATCTGGAAGCCAAACAAATAAAATACCGCATTTCCGCTCTCCTCCTCCCTCCCCCTGCCCCACCCACCGTCCATTGTACCAAATGTTGGTTAATGGTCACTATAACTAATAGCCTGCAAGGAAGATTCAAGTGTGCCTTCTAAAACATCACAGAAGGAGGTTCAATAGATGTTTTCCTCAGATGTTTGGGTGGCTTACTCCCTCACCTCCTTCAGCTCTTTGTTCAAATGTCATCTTTTTGAAGGCTTTCTCTAGTGGCACTCATGAAAATGGCATTCTGCTACCCCCAACCTCTCCTCGCATTCCTGATCCCAATTCCTGCTCTATTTTTTCTTCATAGCACTTACCACCAACTTGCATATTGACGTTTATGTTTATTACCTTTCACAGAAATGCATGCACACAAACATTTGAATATAAACCCCATGAGAGCAAAGATTTTGTCTACTGTTATAGCCCAGTGACTCAAAAAGTACCTAGTACATAGTAAACACTCAAATTGTATAGCACAATAAAATATGGTTTCATTGATAAACACATTTTTATTCATTTAAAATGCATAGTCTGTCAATATTTACACATGATCTCCCTCATCCTGAATTACTTTATTCGTTCGCTTACTCATCGAATGCTTATTAAGTACCTGTCTTGTGCCAAGCCCTGTTCGGGGGCCCTGGGGATTCCACAGGGCGCAAGACATACACATTATCTCTTCTCGTAGGAGAAAAAAGCCTACACATTTGTAAATAAATTAGTAAAAATATTTAGAGATTGAGGAAAGTATAACATAGGAAATAAGTAGGGTGCTGAGACAGAGGATGTGACAGGAGAGACCTGTCAAGTTAGATTCAGTGGGTGTCAGAGAGGGCCTCTCGGTGATGACATTGAAGTTGAGACTTAAAGAATGAGAAGACTTCATACTGTTCAGCAGAGGAAAACCCCATTTGGCAGCCATCTGGGATGAGTGTGTGTAGTGTCCAACATGAGAGGTCCTGAAGAGAAGAACGGGCCAGAAATGTTGAGTCTGAATCTGGATTCCATCTCCAGGGAGCTATTAGTTATCCGATCTTGAAAAGGTCTGAATCTCCCTTTTGTTACAATGGAGGTGATAATACCTACCTCATAGGTATGGGTTATATTAGGTAATGTATGTGAAAGCGTTTAGGTATGAAATACATGCATGATGGTGTTATGGATAAATGGGGCACTGTTAACTCTGTGCCATTTGAGTGTGAATTTCCCACTGGCTTTGAATGTCCTGCAGGGAAAGCTTGTCCTCTGGTATCTTTAGACCAAAGAAACCCAAGCATGGCAAAACCTGATGCCATTGGTGGAGAATCTGTGCTGGTAGGCATCTGTCTTGTTTCTGATTGTGTCCCGTCTGTGTCTTGGGAGACTTCTGTGGAGGGTCCCCAGCGGTCATGGCTCCCTTCCCTAAGTGGTGAGAAGAGTGGGAGAAACTGTTTGTATAGAGGGGTCTATCCAGAGCTGTCCTCATCTGCTCTCACTGCTAGAACCTGTCCCTGAGACCCGAAGGATCACCTGATATATTTGTCCCCATGGTACCTACCAAGAGTTAAGAGACAAAATTGGACTTTGCCTGTGTTTTCTGCTGCCCCGGGGGACAGCCTGTGGACACCGGTGCAAATCAAATCCATAGTCCAGAAAGGCGGCAGGAGGGGACAGCGGGGCTGGTTCTAGGACAAACTGAAGAGGCAAAGAGCTCTTGGGCTTTCAGGAAGGGAAAGCAGCCTGGGAGGAGAGAAAAAAAAATGAGAAGTGGGGGTAGGAGAGCTGGGGTGTGGGGCTCAAGGCTGAGAGGGTGGGAAGGGTAAGTAAGGAGGGCACGAAGGAGGAAAGGGCCACGGGGGAAAAAAGACAGGCACAGAGCAGGTAAAGAGGGGAGGGAGGTGGCCTCT